ACGGTATTAATTTAGGCCCGATTGAGATGACTTTGTTTTGACAGTCCACGTTGCCCAGACATGTGATGGGCCGTCACACATGAGATGATTTGTACTAGTGTCAAGACCATACCAATCTGATCAGTACTTTTCCCCAAAAAAAAATCTCAGTACTTTTGCATTTTGGTCACTGCGTGTCTCAAATAAACGCCGGTAAATTTCCTGGTTTTTACCATTCACAATCAACGCAATGCTGAAAGAGGTTACTGAATTTGCAATGATGAGTATCAGGAGTCTCCGTTCTGAAGTACAGGCGGTGGGTATTGTCACGGCTCGAATTGCAACCAGTGCAAAAAGCAAACAAGCATTAAGGAATGAATGAAATAGTAATGCAAAAAGCAGACATAAATATAGCCCATTAATTTTTATGTCATATATATATTTTTTTTGCGGGGGAAAGGGAAATTCATTAAGCAACTGAAAGATCCTCACACACAAGATGTGCAATGAGGTTACAACTATTGTCCCGCCAGAATTCAGAGCAAGCCACACTCGGACCCCTATTAGCTAGAAAGTGACTAACGGTATTTTGGCAACGCAACACTTTCTTAATTTGCACTTCCCTATTCCCTGAGATCAGCACACCTATATCCCGAAACAGGTGTGCTAACTCCGATCTCACGCTGCTTGCAGACTGAACAAGGTTCATAGCTTCTAGACAATCTGTCTCGATGCAGATCGGCAACAATGTCCATTGAAGCGCCAGAATGATTCCTTCCTTAAGCGCAAGGAGCTCTGCCTCCAGGGCACAGTTACATCGATCAATGAAGCCACACGCCGAGAAAATGACTGAACCAGTACTGTTCCTCAGGATTACACCGATGCCACCTTGATTCAGAGACGCATCCAAGGAGCCATCAATGTTTAATTTCATCCAACCCAGCAGCGGTTTGGTCCAGGGAGCAGATTCCTGCACTTTGACAGGTTTAACCATGCCAGTAGATTGCGGGGGGAACGGCGCTACATGCTTCCCTTTTAACAGGCTTCCAACTGGATGTTGCGATAAATCAAGCAGCGATTGGACATAACTCAGCAAAAACCTCTTTGAAACGGTAGCTGGAGGAGGTTCTTATTAGGAATGTATAGCCATATATGTATAGGATTCTTTTGTATCCTTAGTTTCCTTGTATACTCCTCTAATTGAGGATCCTGTATATTGGAAAGGCTATAATACATGGTCACCCCCCCTCATTGGGGAGTGTGGTGTTCCCTCCTATTCTCTCTCTACATGGTATCAGATTTCAGGTTCTCCTCCTTCCTTCCGCACCTCTGATCTCCCCTCTGTGTTGCGCCTTGCGCCGGCGACGTCCCCTGCTGGTCGCCGTCTTCCTCGTCGCCATGTCGACGTCTTCTGCCACCTCTGCTGTGACCGACAACTCCACGGCATCGGCCTCCACCAACTCCGTCGCGACCGTCTTCGTCAACCCGTACGCGACCATCTCCGTCAAGACTCATGTCCTGATCTCCCTTGAGCTTCGCAACCCCAACTTCAACAAGTGGAAGACCTTCTTTCGCTCGATGTGCGGCAAGTTCGGCCTCCTCGACCACCTCGACTCCGCACCTCCTGCAGCCCCTGACGCCTCATGGTAGCAAGCCGACTTCTGCATCCGCAGCTGGCTGTTCGGCTCGGTCGCCGACGACGTCCTCGACCTCGCCATGGAACCGGATCAGACGGCTTGCGCCCTCTGGCTCGCCATCGCCGACCTCTTTCAAGCGAACAAGGAACCACGTGCAATATTTCTTCATCATGAGTTCCACTCCATGATCCAAGGCGATCTCTCCATCACTGCCTACTGCCAGCGCATGAAGACGGCAGTCGATGCCCTTCGCGACGTCGGGCACCCCGTCACGGAGTCGCAGCTGGTTCTCAACCTTCTGCGCGGTGTCAACTCCAACTTCACCAGTATGGCGGACAACATCGCAAGTGCTCCTGTCCTCCCGTCTTTCGCCTCTGCGCGGAACACCCTTGTTCTCAAGGAACTCCGTCTGGCCAACGACGCCAAAGTTCAGACGGAGACCGCCCTCGTCGCGGCAAGCAGCGCTGCTACCTCTTGCCCCTCGGGCTCCTGCTCCTCCACTGGTGGTGGCGGCAAGGGTGGAAACAAGAAGAAGAATGGCGGCCGCAACTACAACCGCAATGGCGGCGGTAACAACAGCGGCAATAACAGTGGCAGCGGCGGTGGAAGTCGTCAAGGCGGCGGCAGCAGCACCTTCTCCTTTGCTGTCCCGCGCCCCCCAACTGGACCATGGGTCTGTGTCTCCCCATGGGCCGGCCAGCAGCAGCAGCAGCAGTAGTGGAGCGCCCCCGGCATCCTCGGGCCTTTTCCTCAAGCCCACACCGCCTTTGCCAGCCCGTACTCGTCGCCGGCCACCTCTGCAGCGCAACCGGCCTGGGATCAGGCTGGACTGGTGGCTGCCCTCAACCAGATGACGGTCCACAGCCCCAATTCTTGGGTCCTCGACACCGGCGCGACCTCGCACATGTCATCCACCGATGGTATACTCGTTACCCGCTTACCCAATTCTCACACCTATATTACTGTCGGCAATGGTCACACTATTCCGGTTATATGTCGTGGCTCTTCCTTTCTACCTATAGGCACCACCAAATTTGATCTCAAACACATCCTTGTTGCTCCTTCCTTGGTTCACAATCTTCTTTCCGTTCACCAATTCACTCGTGACAACCATTGTTCTATTGAATTTGATGAGTTTGGTTTTTCTGTCAAGGACCTCCGGACCCGGCGCGTGATTCTTCGCTGCAATAGTCACGGTGATCTCTACACCCTACCAGCAGCCGCACCACCTATCGCCGCCCACTGCTTCCACGCCACCTCCACCACCATTTGGCATCGCCGCCTTGGCCATCCCGGATCTGCAGCCATCCTCGCCCTACAGCGCCTCTCCGCCATACCCTCGTCAAAGCCAGATAGTTCCCTTTGTCATGCATGTCAATTAGGCAAACATACCCGTCTTCCCTTTACTAGATCAAGCTCCAGTACTTCCTCTCCTTTTGAATTAGTTCATTGCGATGTATGGACATCTCCTGTTTTGAGTACCTCTGGCTACAAATTTTATTTGGTTATTCTCGATGACTTCAGTCATTTTTGTTGGACATTCCCTCTTCGTCATAAGTCTGATGTTCACCAGCACATTGTGGATTTTGTTGCATATATACACACCCAGTTTGGTCGCCATTTGAAATGCATACAGGCTGACAATGGCGCTGAGTTCGTCAACCGCAGCACCACCTCCTTCCTTGCTAGCCGCGGCTGCCTGCTCCACCTTTCCTGCCCATACACATCCCCGCAAAATGGCAAAGCCGAGCATGTGCTTCGCACCATTAACAACTCAGTCCGCACCCTTCTCCTGCAAGCCTCCATGCCTCCTGCCTATTGGGCCGAAGGTTTAGCCACAGCCACATATCTCCTAAACCGACGTCCTTCCTCATCCGTACAGAACTCCATCCCATTCCAGCTCCTCCACAATAAAATCCTGGACTACTCCCTATTGCGTGTGTTTGGATGCCTTTGCTACCCTAACCTTAGTGCCACCGCCAGCCACAAACTCGCCCCTCGCTCTGCTGCGTGCGTTTTCTTAGGCTATCCCACCTCACACAAAGGTTACCGCTGCTTCGACCTCTCCACTCGCCGCATCATCATTTCTCGCCATGTCGTCTTCGATGAGACTTGTTTTCCGTTTGCTCGTCACCCAGTAGATGTCTCTTCGCTTGATTTTCTGCTACAGGAAGTGACTACTCCCACCGTGGTCGCTCCACCCGTCACGGGTGTCGAGCAACCGTGGCCCTCCCTGCCCCGCGCCACGGATGACCTGGTGCGGTCGTCTTTGGTGGCTGCTCCCTCGGCTGAGGTTGAGCAGCCGCTTCTTCCCTACACGGCGGTGGTCCCGGCTGCTGGGTTGGCTCGGCCGGCCCCTGGGGGCCCAGTGCCCACGACCCGGACGGCTGCCGGGCCTCTTCTTCCGACTACGGCACGGCTGGTCGAGCCCTTCCCGCACGTCTACCGGCGACGATAGGCCACGCCACCACCGCGCCTCGACGCTGCACCGGCACCTCCCCAGTCGTGCCGCCCCCGCCAAGCCGCATGGTCACGCAGTCCCAGACCGGCTCTCTTAGGCCTGTCGACCGCCTCATCCTAGCGGCTTCCCACTCCGCTATCTCCCCGGTTCCGACCAACTACCGCAACGCGCTCGCCGATCCCAATTGGCGTGCTGCCATGGCGGATGAGTACAAGGCCTTGATCGACAACGGCACTTGGCGCCTGGTGCCCTGCCCCCCGGGTGCTAACATCGTCACGGGCAAGTGGATCTTCAAGCACAAGTTTCACTCCGACGGCTCTCTCGCTCGGTACAAGGCTCGTTGGGTGGTTCGCGGCTACTCCCAACAACACGGCATCGACTACGACGAGACCTTCAGCCCCGTCGTCAAGCCGTCCACGATCCGAGTCGTCCTCAGCATCGCGACCTCACGATCATGGCCCATCCACCAGCTCGATGTCAAGAACGCCTTCCTTCATGGCAAGTTGGACGAGACGGTGTACTGCCAGCAGCCCTCCGGCTTTGTCGACCCGGCCGCGCCCGACGCCGTTTGTCTTCTTCAGCATTCTCTCTATGGCTTAAAGCAGGCCCCTCGCGCATGGTACCAGCGGTTCGCCACCTACATCCGTCAGCTCGGATTTGTCGCCTCGACCTCCGACACGTCCCTCTTTGTCTACAAGGATCGAGACCGCATCGCCTACCTCCTGCTCTACGTCGACGACATCATCCTCACTGCCTCCTCCACGGATCTACTTCGCCTCATCACCACTCGGCTGCACTCCGAGTTTGCCATGACGGACCTCGGCGATTTGCACTTCTTCCTCGGCATCTCCATCTGGCGCTCCTCCAACGGCCTCTTCCTGTCCTAGCGATAGTACGCCGTTGATCTTCTTCAGCGAGCCGGCATGTCTGAATGCCACCCCACCGCCACCCCAGTTGACACTCGGGCCAAGCTCTCCGCCTCCGACGGCACTCCCGTCAAGGATCCGACCGAGTACAGGAGCCTTGCAGGAGCTCTACAGTACCTCACTCTCACTCGGCCGGAGCTCGCCTATGCTGTCCAGCAAGTCTGCCTCTTCATGCATGATCCACGGGAGCCCCACCTTGCCTTGGTCAAGCGCATTCTGCGCTACGTCAAAGGCTCTCTCTCCGCCGGACTCCACATCGGCACCGGGCCTGTCAAGTCTCTGACGGCTTACTCTGATGCTGACTGGGCCGGCTGTCCTGACTCCCGACGCTCCACCTCCGGCTACTGCTCTTCCTCGGCGACAATCTGATCTCTTGGTCTTCCAAGCGTCAGACGACTGTCTCCCGGTCTAGTGCGGAGGCTGAGTACCGCGCTGTTGCCCACGCCGTCGCCGAATGCTGCTGGCTTCGCCAACTTCTCCAGGAGCTTCATGCCCCCATCGCCTCTGCGACCGTTGTTTACTGTGACAACGTCAGCGCCGTCTACATGACGGCCAATCCGGTGCATCACCGTCGCACGAAGCACATCGAGATCGACATTCACTTCGTTCGGGAGAAGGTGGCTCTCGGACAGGTCCGTGTGCTCCATGTACCGTCATCCCATCAGTTCACCGATATCATGACCAAGGGGCTGCCTGTGCAGTTGTTCACTGATTTCAGGTCCAGTCTTTGCGTTCGTGATCCTCCCGTTGCGACTGCGGGCGGGTATTAGGAATGTATAGCCATATATGTATAGGATTCTTTTGTATCCTTAGTTTCCTTGTATACTCTTCTAATTGAGGATCCTGTATATTGGAAAGGCTATAATACATGGTCACCCCCCCTCATTGGGGAGTGTGGTGTTCCCTCCTATTCTCTCTCTACAGTTCTTTCTCATGGATGATTTCATTCCGGACAAACCAGACCCGCCAGAGAGTCATCAGGAAGAACATACGATTGTCCTCCGGCAGATGCATAAGCAAGTCTAGCACCCAGTTCGGTCATGTACATCGTCCGACAACAGCAGGGTCCAAATAAATGACATCTCGCATCAGTGACCAGAGTTGTCTAGCTTGAGGACAGCGATATAGCGCATGGATAGTATCTTCCTTCTCTATGCCACAGTCTGCAAACCTCAGAGGCCTCTAGATTCCTTTTCTTTTTATTCTCCATCGTAGGGAGGCAATTGGAGGCTGCCTTCCAAGCATGGATTTTAACTTTTTGCGGAACTTTACACTTCCATAGACAGTCCCACGTTTTGCTGAGAATTACTCCCGAGGAACTGGAGCTACTATCCGATTCTGCCAGGGATATTGCAAGATGATATGCACTGCGGACAGAAATCCGACCGAGTCTGTCAGGATGCCACGCAAGGAAATCCTCTTCCTGCCTAGCTGACAAGCGAATACCCAAAATGAGATCAGCATCAATGGGCAAGAAAACTTGGCTAATACGATCTGAATCCCAGGAGCCTTCTGGTGTAATTAAATCCGAAACCCATTTCAATCTGCAGCTGCCCTTCCTCGAAATTACCCGACGTGAATGGCCCATCGGAATTCAGGGATTACGCCATATACGGATTGAACGTCCATTGCCGACTCGCCAAATGATACCTTTCTTCAGGAGTTCTAGTCCATATTCTATTGAACGCCAACCCGGAGATGCACAGCCACTGAAGCATGTGTCAACCAGGGAGCCGTTAGGATAATTTTTTGCCTTGAGAACTCTTGCACACAGACTCCCAGGGTTATCTATCAAGCGCCACGCTTGCCTAGCAAGCAGCGCTTGATTGAACACTTTGAAATCTCTGAAACCTAACCCACCTCTTTGTTTCGGCTTCGTCAGGCAATCCCATGCCTTCCAGTTCGTTTTCCTTTTGCCTTTCTCTGCACCCCACCAAAAATTCCTTGACAGCCAATTGAGATCATCACACACCGAGTCTGGCAACTTGAACACACCCATTACATATACCGGAATGGCCTGAATCACAGATTTAAACATCATCTCCTTCCCTCCAGACGAAAGAAAATTCTCGCCCCAAAGCATTATTCGTTTCCAGATTCTTTCTTGTAAACTTAGAAATTTACCCTTGCACATCCTCCCATCGGGAGTAGGGAAACCAAGATACTTGTCTTCAAGCGATGCATTAACTAACTGCAGAGTATTGCTGATAGAGTTCTGAACCTCTACCGGGGTGGCAGTACTGAACAGCATGGAGGTGCGAAATAAGGTGCGAAATCCCAGGGGCTCTACGGCAGATATGAACCGGTGAAAGGGATTCTTCTCGCACTTTCTCGTCCATCAAACAGGATAGGCCATCAGCCACGAAGAGAAAGAGAAAGGGGGAGAGAGGGTCCCCTTGACGAAATCCTCTAGTTGGAGCAAATGTACTCAGCAGCGTTCCATTAAATGTAATTGCATATCTCACCGTGGTTACACAAGACATGATCCACTTAACCCAACGATGAGCGAAACCCAGTTTGTACATACCCTGCTCCAAGAACCTCCAATCCACCCGATCATATGCTTTCGAGAGGTCAAGCTTGTAAGCACAAGCAGCCTTGCCCGGATTCTTGTTCTTTTGAATAAAGTGAAAGTACTCGAAAGCGAGGAGGGCATTATCTGTAATCAACCTCCCCGGAACAAAAGCACTCTGATTTGGTGAAATAAGAACATCCAGAATTGGTCTGAGTCTGTTTACTAGGCATTTTGAACAATCTTTTACAACACATTGCACAGACTTATAGGACGAAACTCTTTCAACTCTAACGGCTGTTGGGTTTTCGGAATAAGCACAATAGCAGTATCATTAACACCCTCCGGCATCTCCCCTGAGGAGAAAAATTCCTTAACAGCTCGTATGACGTCAGCTTTGATAACTACTACTCCTACTAGGAAGTATATACATAAGACATCGACATATTGATTCTTTGAAATAGCATAACCAACCATACCCCATACCTAGAACGTACTTAGATAAAACCCAAGACAGACATACGAGTATATACTAGTAGAACAAGTCCTCGTCAAAATATTAGGGGGCGGCGCATGTAGAAACATGTTTCGGCCATCTGTCAAAATATTTTTCATGCTGGTGACAATCTTAATTAATATTTTTCATGCCTCACCACGTTCTCTGCTCCCACCTGCCATTGCAAAAAAACCCACATATTTTAGAAACCCCTTATTAAGGGAATTCGTTTTATTTTTTGTTCCACAAAAAATGTTTCACCCATTGTATTTACAATGTTTCACTATGTATAGATCTAATGGTGCAGTGAACTGAAATATTCCATTGCAACAAAAAAACCCACATATTTTGGAAACCCCCTATTAAGAGAATTCGTTTCATTTTTTGTTCCACCGAAAAATGTTTCACCTAGTGTACTTATAATGTTTTACTATGTATGGATTAAATGTTGCAGTGAACTGAAACAATCTTTAGCTATTTGCTGAAATATTGTTTTTATATAAGGTGAAACAACAGCCGATTTAAACGAGTGAAATATTTTCGATCTACTTAGTGAAACAATTCCGATATACCTGGTGGAACATCATGCAACATTTAAAAATAATTCAATAATAAGCTAATTTTTTTCATTGGAATATATCCATGTGTTGTCTTGTTTTGAAGATTTAATTGCAACGAATTTAATAGTGCAATCGGATCATGATTTGGATAAGTAATTTAAGAGAAAAATCAGTTTGAAATAGTTTTGCACGTAAATCGGACGCTAACATCATGCTGACGTGAGCGTCTGATTTTTCCTCTAAAGCATCGGACGTCCGACCCGTAGACTCATCCCAAGAAGTTAAGTTGAACAAATAATGACAAAAAAAAAAGAAGGATGAAACATAGCCTGGAAAAGAAGAAGGCAAAATTGGTTCACGCCCGCACGCCGCACCATTCGCGAGCTGCCGCGGCACTGAACGCGCCCAATGCAGCGAACCCGGCGGTCACGCGCCACGAAGGATTCCTTTTATATTTTATTTATTTTCAATATTTTCGGTCGACAATCTCAGCCGTCGGATATCGATCAGACAGCTAGCTTCCATGTTGTCTTCCTCGTCGCGAATACTCTTTCTTCTCGTCGGGTGGTGAGTGTCCCCAGCACCGCCTCGACGCCCACCGTACCTCCTCCACCGGACCGAGCTCTCCTTTCAGCCCATCGGCGGCTATCAAATCCTTGTCAGCAGCTGCAACCCCCCCTGCTGAAATCTAGGAAACATATTGTTGCTCCATATGATAACCTGTATCATACTATAACTGCAACGATTTGCACTCGTATTCCGTCACTGTAAACCTAATCTAATCCACGTACGTATGTTGAAATTAATAGATGGGCTAAGGCCCATTCGAATATTAATTCTTTGGAAAATCACAAAAGCCCACCTCATAAAATGGCATGTATGTGGAGTTTAGTACCACTTTACTTATTCTAGTAGAGGGGACCTCCTTAAAAGGGAGGATGCCCTCCTAGCCACTTGAAGCATGTGTGGTGGAGAGAAGAGGGGGAACACACGCGTGTTCTCGCCTCGCCTGGCAGGGCAGGCGGCGCGCGTACGGTCCGCAAAATTGGCGGCGTGGAGTCCACGGTTCCGTTGTTTTGAAAACATTCCGAAAAATCCGGTGCATGAAAACGGCGTGGAGTCCGGATAAGTTACGCGCGACTTATCCGGTTCGGTTACGCGGAGTGGAGATCGTGCGGGCGCCCTGATCAAGCGACCTATCTCTATATAAACCGAGCCGCCGCCTTCACGCAACACACGCGAAATCAATCTAGGGTTTGCCTCCTGCTTTGTGCTGCGCCGTCGCTCGTAGACTACTCCATCCCGCTTGCCGGCGATCGGGAGAGCAGGTCTCCGCAACCTCTGCCTTTGACGTCCTGCACCGGAAGAAGGCGGCAATAAGGTTTTTGGGAAGCGCTTTGAGCGACTGCTCCCTCTTCGTCCGCGACGGCTCGCCTTCCTGCCGAGCAACCGGTCTTTCCGCCACCTCGGTATGTGTTCGATATGTTGCGCATATTTGATTTGTTCATGTTTTACTGCCTAGTTTACATGTGTAGATCTAATGATGCGTTCAATCTAGTTTATATCTGCAATGTCATGATTTATTTATGGAATAAATTAAATCATTATGTGCTTATAATTTCAACAATCCAAAAACCTTATTATAGGCGCTGTGATTTTACTATGGCTGGTTTTGCCGATGCACTGAGGCCGGATAAATTCACCGGTGTGCACTTCAAGAGATGGCAGATCAGGGTCACTATGTGGCTGACAGCTATGAAATGCTTCTGGGTGAGTACTGGCAAGCCTATGGGCGTTCTTA